TTCTGTTATTTGTGCATTTTGGGTGATGCTTGATAGTCTATTTATGCCATAAATTAGGGCCCCTAAATTTGCCTCTATTTTTTTCCTTTAGGAACTTTATAGTTTAGGTTTCACATTTAAATCTTAGACCCATCTGTAGTTTGTTTTTATATATGGTGTGAGGTACGGATCTTGTTTCATTTTTCTGCAAATAGATACTCAGTTTTGCCAACACCAATTGTTAAAGAGACTATCTCTTCTCCTTTTAATGGATTTTGACCCTTTTTCAAAGATCACCTGACCATAGGTGTATAGATCTATTTCTGAGTTCTCAGTTCTATTCTACTGGTCTATGTGTCTGTCATTATACAAATACCAGGTTATTTTGACTACTGTTACTGTATAGTAGGTTTTGAGATCTGAGAGTAAGAGACTGCCTACTTTGTTGTTCTTGAATAGTGCTTTGCTTAACTGAGGTCTCTTTCCTTTCTATTAGTAATTGTTTTTTCCATATCCTTAAAGAATGTTGATGGTATCTAGATTAGAATTGCATTGAATGTATAGATTGCTTTGGGTAGTAAGGACATTTTCTCAATGTTCAATCTTCTTTCCCACGAGCATGGTATATTCTTCCATTTATGTAGATCTCTTAGGTTTCTTGAAATAGTGTTTTGTAGTTTACTTTATAAAGGTCTTTTGTGTTCCTGGTAGTATTTATTCCCAAGTATTTTATTTTTTTGGTAGCATTGTAAATGGTATTGATTTCCTTTCCAGCAATCTCTTTGCTGGTGTAGAAGAATTGAGCTGATTTTTGTATGTTGTATCTTTCAATTAGTTTCAGTGGTTTTCTTGCTGAATTTCTTGGGTTTTCTATGTTTAGCGAATAGGGGTAATTTTACTTCTTCCTTACCAATTTGGATGCCTTTGATTTCCCTTTCTTGCATTATTGCCCTGGCTGGGACTTCCAATACAATGTTGAATAGAAGAGGAGATAGAGGGCATCCTTGTGGGATACCATCAAGAGGAATAACCTTTGTGTAATTGGAATTACAGAACAGGAAGAGACAGATAAAACCACAGAGAAAACTATCAAAGATTTGTTGGAAGAGAATTTCCCTGATAGGATGAAAGATGAGAAAATGTCCACTCAGGTACTTCAGTGAACCCCAAACCGGATAGACCTGAAAAGAAAATCACCAAGATAAATCAAAATCAAACTCACCAAAATCAAAGACAAAGAAAGAATCCTGAAATCAACACAGGAAAAAGGAAGAGTTACTTACAAAGGGCGACCAATAAAACTAACTTCTCATTTCTTGGCAGAAACCATGTAGGTGAGAAGGCAAGGGGATGATAGATATAAAATGCTGAAAGAAAAAGATTTCCAACCAAGAATGATATGTCGTCGTTGTTGTTGTTATGTGCCGTCGAGTCAACTCTGACTCATAGCGACCCCTCCTTGGGTTTCTGAGGCAGTATCACTGCGGGAGTAGGATTGCCCAGCCTTCCTTCCGAGGAGTGGCTGGTGGGTTTGAACCGCCAGCCTTCTGGTTAGCAGTCAAGTGCCTTAGCCACTATGCTATCAGAGCTCCAGAGAATGATATACCCAGCAAAATTCTCCCTCAAATAGGATGGTGAAATTAGGACATTTCCAGATAAGTAGAAATTAAGGGGAGCTCTGGTGGTATAGTACCTAAGGCATTTGACTGCTAACCAGAAGACTGGTGATTCAAACCCACCAGCACTCCTTGGAAGGACAAAGGAAGATTAGCAATCTACATCTATAGTGATACCTCCTCGGAAACCCAAGGAGGGGTCTCTATGAGTCGAATCAACTCAATAGCAGTGAGTTAGAACAACCTTACAAGAGATTCTAAAGAGTATCCTTTGGACAGAGAACAAACAACAGCAAACAACAACTGAACATTAACACACATGATGATGTAACTCAGAAACCAACCAAATTTTGGGAATATCCAAAGTAAAATAAGCATACAGTACTGAAACAGGGAACCAGAGACATCAATTGGCAAGTAAGAAGTACTGCAAACCAAAAAGAGAGAAAAATAGTGTCATTACAGAACTTCTAAGTGGTGAGGAAGTTGACAATTTACAACAGACAGTTCTAAACCTGGGAAGAAAATTATAAATCACAGTGTAACCTCAAAGAAAAATAATAAACCTTCACATCAAAATAAAAAAGAGGATAAGAACAAATATTTATTAGATACAAAAACAATAGCAATAAAGGAAATGATAACATGATTTGTAAGCAAAATGAGTTCAGCACAGAAAGTTACATGGAATGAAGAAAATCAGGAGTGGCAATATTAATTTCTGATAAAGTTGACTTTAAGACAAAAACCACCATAAGAGACAAAGAAGGACGTTATATAATGATTAAGGCATCAATTGAACAAGAAGACATAATAAATATCTATGCACCCAGTGAAAAAACCCCAAAATACACAAATCAGACTTTAACAGAATTAGAAAGACAAATAGATGGTTCCACAGTAATAGTAGGAGATTTTAATAGACTACTTTCAATGAAAGATAGAACAATTGGGAGGAAACTCAACAAAGATACAGAAGAACTAAACAGTACACTCCACTTATAGACTTCTACAGAGCACTTCACCCAACAACAGCACAATATACATTCTTTTCCCATGCATATGGAAAATTCTCCAGGCCACAAAACAAGCCTCAGTAAATTTAAAGACACTGAAATACTGCAAAACATCTTCTCAGATCACAATGCTGTGAAATTAGAAATCAACACTAGGAAGACCAACGGAAAAAGAGCAAACACATGGAAACTGAACAACACCCTCCTTAAAAACAACCACTTAATAGAAGAAATGAAAACTGAAATTTAAAAATTCCTTGAATCAAACAAGAATGAAAACACAACATACCAAAATCTTTGAGACACAGCAAAAGCAGTGAGCAGAGGCCAATTTGTAGCAATAAATGTATACATCAAAAAAGAAGAAAGCTAAAAATAACACCTTAACCCAGCATCTGCAACAATTAGAAAAAGAGTAACAAAAAAAAAAAAAAACCCTACAGTCACCAAAAGAAAAGAAATAATAAAGATTCGAGCAAAAATAAATGAAACAAAATAGAAAGACAATAGAAAAAATCAGTGTGACTAGAAGTTGTTTTTTTGAAAAGATTGATAAAATTGACAAACTAACTATTTCATCATCTATCACTTTATAACTGAGTGTATGTAAACGTGTATATGTTTGTATAGAGGGTCCTCCCCACAAAAAAAAAACAAACCCTAACTCAATGCTATTGAGTCAGTTCTGACTCATAGTGACCCCTCATTGGGTTTCCGAGGCGGTATCCCTATGGAAATAGATTACCCAGTCTTCCCTCTGAGGAGTGGCTGGTGGGTTTGCACTGCCAGCCTTGTGGTTAGCAGTCAATTGCCTTAGGCACTATTCCACCAAATAAGTAGTGCCCTTAGCTACTAACCAAAAAGTTGAAGGTTCAAGTCTACCCAGCAGAGCCTTAGAGTAAGGGCTTGGCAATCAACTTAAAAATATATCAGTCATTGAAAACTCTACAGAGCACACTTCCACTCTGACACACATGGAGTCGCCTTGAATTGGAGTCATCTCATTGACAGCTGGCTTATGTTTGGGTATATTTGATTTTGTATAAATCAAGTTAAATAAACAGTTTCTTCTCTCTAAAGTTGAATCAAAATTGGTCACAACAGTTGTTTTCTCCTATTAAATTTAGAAGGCAAATTCAAAGATATGGACAGTTTTAGTGTATACATGTAGTGTGTATGGATCTTGTCTGTGTAGCCATTCATAGTAGAAAATTACATAACTAGAGGTCTTCTGTTAAGTATAGTCTACCTGGAGTTATTCCGCCCTCCCCCTTAAAAAAAAAAAAAAAAGACTTATCTTGATTCAGTAAGTTTATTTAAATTTACCCTTTTTAAGACTTTCTTTTTATAACTATCTACTGATCTCTGGTTTTGGCAAAAGGGGCTTTTAGGCTACCATGTTATTATTATTTTAAATACAGGTAGCTCTTAAAAGAACAACAACAACAAAAAAAAGCCCTTATTTTTAATTTCAGGTGGTACTACTGAAAGGGAAAAACATTCATATTTTGGTTATTTTTAAAACATTTTTTATGGGGCTAAGAATAAATATTCCATAAAACCACATCATGAACAATTATGTTTCAGATGTGATTACCAGTAATAATTTTAGTCTAACTTCAAACAGTTTAGAAAGTGCATGTTTATAAAATGGTTTCTGGACTATTATGTTGGTGCTCCCTTATTCCCCTATTTTGGGGCATAGGTGGTGATCACATCTAGCTTTCATGCTCAAAACTGAACACTGTATTAAATAAAAAGCAAATACTATTTGCCACTGATGGTAATATTAAAGAACTATTCATTCTATAGCCTCCCAAAATAGTTTTTTAAAAAATCCAGACCTCTTCTTGAGGTTCCTAGCATACTGACTGAATATGTCATAGCTGTTATCCTTCCTGCTTTCTTGTTAGGGTTAGGAGGCTGTTGGCCAGTCTACTGTTCAACTGCTATTTCATGTATGGTTGTACTTTAGTCTCAGCGCTGCTCCAGAGAGGATAAGACATGGTGGAAGCTCTCAGTTATCCACACACTACTTCTCTTTCTTGATAAGTTGCTGAATCAACTGGAAAATGGAGCCAACTTTTTAGTATTGTTCTCTTTAAGTCTTGGAACTCTAGGTCCCTGCAGATAAACTAGAAGCACAGGGCCTTGTTCTAAGAATGAGCCGATGTTGGCAGAGTGGTTCTTTGAAATTGATACCAATTTGACCCACAAGAGCATAGCAAAAATCTAGTCAAATATGACTGTAAAGGAGAAATTCTCAAGAATCAATATGTACTCTACTAAAGAGGTACACAAAGCTGCATGGATTTTTCCAAAATGAGTATTTGGGGGAGTTAAAACAGACTTATCCTATTTGACTGTGAGTTCTTTGTTTTTTCTTTAGTTCTGGATGACCATGGGAAGAATGTTACAATCTGTGTGCCTGACTTTGGTCAAGACTTGACCAGAGATGAGAATTTGGTTACTATACTGGGTGCCACTCTCCTGCTTATATGTTTCTTATATTCATGGTAAGTCTTAAGCCATCTTTGCAGACTTTAGGAGCTCTGGTGGCCCTGTAGTTAAAGCATTCTGCTGCTAATCAGAAGATCAGCAATTTGAACCCACCAGCTGCTCCATGGGAGAAAGATGAAATAGTCTGCTTCCATAAAGATTTACGGCCTTGGAAACCCCATGGGACAATTCTACCTGTATCCCATAGGGTTGCCATGAGCTGGAATCAATTCAGTGGCAGTAGGTTTGGTTTTCTGGTTTTGGTGGTGCAAAAACGGCAAGGAGGCCACATGTTCTGACCTCCTCTAATCCCACAAGAGGAAGACAGAGTCACCATCAGTAGCCCAAGGCCTATTACTGCAAGACCAGACATGCTGCCTCCCTCCAGCCCTTTGACCAACTGTTCCTCCCAAAGCACCCACCACCTCTCTCCTAGGTTTGATAATTCTCTAAAGTGGACACACAGAGCTCACAGATGATGGGATTTATTAGAGGAGCACCACAGGCTACCATTCGAGTTCAGGAAAAATGCTCAGCCTCTCTCCCAGCCCACTGTCCCTCAGCCAACAGTCTCTCACAGTCTCTTTCCCAGCAGTGCTTGTCCCTCGGTGTCTCACTCAGCAATGCGTGTCTCTTGGTCTCTTTCCCAGCAGCACGTGTCTCTTTCAGGAGTGCGTGTCTCTTTGGGCAGCACTTCTTCCTCAACCAGCAGTCAGAGAGAGTTCTGCCTCTAGGAGGCCTCCTTTTGAGCTTGGCAGAGTGGCCAAACCAACCAATCATAACAACAGAATTCCAAGCACCTGAGAGTGAGCTGCCCATAACATTGTGTTGTGCCATGACCAACAGAAATAACCCAGGTGGATAACATTTACAATCAGGAACTCCTCAGTTGCTCATTCCACCACTGAGTTTACAATGACTTATGGGTAGAAAAGCCATACTAACTAATTTACTTCACTGCAGGTGGTTATAAACAGGCTTCAGTTTTTAAAGATAATCATAAAATGTATCTCTGAACATAAATTGAAATTTGCTTTGTGGGTAGCAAATCAATTGGGTTCCTTAAACAAAGAAACACTATCCTATATAGTTGCTATGAGTCAGAATCAACTTGATGGCAGAGGGTTTGGTTTTTTGGTTGAGTTTGCAGACTTTAAAAGTATAGGAAAAGAATTAAAATTTCAGCAGCTACAAAATAGCAAAGCAAATAACCATCTGAGGGAGGGGAAAAAGTAGACAGAAATAAAAAGTTAGTATTGCAGTGTGAAATCTAAGTGTTAGGACTTCATTAATCTTACTTGTATTTATATGGGTAGGGAGAATAAATACATGGTGATGTTGCAGCTGCATTGTCTAACACCCTCTAAAAGACAGTTTGAATATTAATTTCTAAAGCATTATAGGGAAATGAGAGAGCACAAAGTGAGAAAGGGAACGTGTGTGCCAGAATGTGTTGGCAACTTTCTAATACAAGGGAAACAGCATTTGTTCTAGTGTAGATGGGAAGAGTATGAAGCACTGTATAGACCATCATGTTTTGCACAGTCCAGGAAAGACAGGAAATGTCCCTTTTCTTTTATGCTCAAACCCATGATGTTGGTGTTAAACAGGCGAAGTGGCTTCTGCCACAGTAGGTGTGATAATAAGCAGAGTGTGTTTCAGATACTTAATTGGCAGTGTGGTGGTGGTAGTTTATTCTACCTTTAAAATACTGCATTTTGCTAAAGGGAGAAAAGAAAATGGAGGAAAATGGTCAGTTGCTTATTCTAGGTACGTATTTTGCTGATAATTTCCCTTTGACAGTAACCTTCTCACATTTAAGTTTTATTTCTGTGTTTTGTTTGCTACATTTCAGTGTGTAAAAAAATCAACTTGTCATAGGTATATCATAATCTCCCTTTTGCTGAAACAAAACAATCCAGCTTGTGACAGCTTATATAAATAGTCTTTCCAAATACTTTGATATCTCACATAGCGTCCAGCACCTCCTACTGCCAGAAAGAAACTAACAAAGACCATATATGTTTTAGAGAGGGGAGCACTGAATTTTATGAAGTGCTCGCTTATGTTGCAGGTGGTTGTTAAGATAATTTTTATATAACATTGATTCTGCATGTGTTTATGACTTAGTGACACACTCTCCTTGTTGCATCAGGAGAGGCCACAGTGACCACTTTCTGGTCTTTCCTTTTTATTATTTTCATAAATTGCTCACTGAGTACTTACAATGTATGAAGTTTTACATATGAACCAGTGGGGTGGGATACAGGGTCTGTTTCAGGCCCAAGTCACTGAATATTTTCAGAGAAATTGTAAAGCCACCAAAAATTTGAATGCTGATTCTTAGCTTTTCCTTTCTTGAGTAAGCTTTTCCTTCCTGAGTCTGTTATTGTTAGACTTTGGGGGGGAAATGGCAGCAGCATAGGCTGAACTCAAGATTGGTCACTCAGTTTTGTTCTGTATTAACATGGGAAAATGTTTGTAAATCAAGTGAGGAACAAGTAGCTTATCAAACTGTATATTAAGGAATATTTTACTTTTAAAACAAAACATGTTTGTGTTAGAAAAAAATCCTGGAATGAGATAATCAGAATGTTAACAGTGGTCATATTAGAGATAACTTACTTATTCTCCCTTGTTTTTCATACTTTCTTTTTTTTTTAATCTTTTATTTACAGTGAGCTTGCTTGTTTTGTTTTCTTTTTATGTCACTTCTATTATCAGAAAAAATAGTGAAGGTATGCTGGCATAAAATCTTGTGTTTTTGTGGGTTGCTGGGTGCCTAATAGTACATGAGGAAAAAAATAATCCTCAGATAATTAGATTTGTTATAAATTCATAAATGGAAAAGATGATAAAAATTATACTCAGTGTGCTGTGTATGTTAACTAACAGATGTGGAGTTATCTTTCAGCATGGATTTTTACCCTGTCAGATTTTCACTGTTTATAGCAGGTATTAAAAAATTACCTTTTTAAAGTGAGAGATGATAAATACAGTATTGTCCCTTTCAGAATTTGGAGGCACCCTAGTGTAGCTTTGGCAGGGTCTAGTCTGGTGTTCCCAAAAGCTGTGAATTTTCAAAGCTGACAGCTGCTACTTAAAATCTGTCTAAATGCCAATAATAAACATTGTTATCAAATGTTGGTAATTAAGCTGCAGAGCTGTGGTGCCTCATGGATTGAGGATGTAAAACAGCAGCTCACACAAATGGAGACAAAGAATAAGCAGTTTGCTCCTCCTTTGGATGCTTCTGTAACACCCAGGCATGAACATGGTGACTAGCAGTTTATTCCTGCCAGGAGTTGGTAAAGGGGCCATCCAGTGGTCTGGGTGATTAATATTTGCTGTAATTTTCTGCTGCTGCTCTGTGAGTCAGCTTTGAGAGCTTTATAAACAGATTGTCTTTGAGTTCACAGGAAAGCAAGTTCAGGCTTAGTAGACTCGTGAAAAATGGGAATGCTGCTAGAGGTAGAAGGGAGTCAGCCTAATTAGGGGATTTTCCAGTCTTGACTTCATAGAGCATTAGTTTTTCTCCCAGATTCAGAGGAACAAAAGCTTGGAAGATGTTA